TTAGGGTGGATCTTTTTAGTTCTTTTGCCCACTGTTCTACAGTGGGAACTCCATTTTAACTGGCCATATGCTGTGACCACTGTGTCTTATTGCAAGTTACTTGTAGATATTATTTCTTATTCTGTGATAATTGGCCATATTCTTTGTGTATGCTGATTTAAAGCTATGCTGCATTGAAGTGCATATGTTGATTGCAAGCACTTCAGCAGTGCCCTTTACCCTCTGTGACCCATCCTGGTTACCATTTTCATAGAGTCAGGTGGGTGGAAGAGACACATCTAACATCAAGATCCATGAGAAATTTCAAGTTGTTTGAAGCGTGACAGCACTTGAGTTTCAGAGAATGACTATAAGATGCCGGCACGATGAAACTGATTTTTCTGGTTGTCTGAAGAACATTGCCCCCAGGTCTCAGCCTAAGAAAGAGGCCCAGCCTTGAAAATTTCAGCCTGGACTAATCCTTAGTTAAAACTGCATAATATTAAAAAGTTCAGCAGTTACTGTCTATTAACAACAAGCTATGACTGGAGTTACTAACAACTTTTTAATGTAGCAGTTATAAATCTGGATTAATTTCAGTGATTGCTAAAGGATCTCCAGTCTTGCTTAATGGAGGAAACGACAATTCTCCAAGTGTTTCCCTCTAACAGTCTTTTTTAAAGCTGTTTTAAAGGACGCTTTAAAAGCATGAACAATTTCAGTGATAGATTTCTGAACATTAAATGCATAATGTGGCACGCTCTAGTTGTTAATTTATGTTTGAGGTTTAATTTGTTGCTTAATTTGTGTTCTGAGATTATTGTTATGGATGACATTAAGTCCTTGTAATTTTGCCAACTCTTACTATTTCTACATATGCAAATACGTATTTTCAAAGCTGTCTTTAGATTCTGTGCATCTCTGTAGTATTGAAGGCTAATAATGCCTGTCTGGTATTTGGGCATACAGTGACTGCGTTTCTAATAAATGAATATTTATAAATGTGACTTAGCTGATAGATTTTTCAACTGGATCTCTCCTCCATTTGGTTATTAACTTTCTGATCTTTGACATAAAAACTTTTCTCCCTGTATTTTATATTTCACTTCAGGCAAAGTTATATAGCAACCATCCTCTCTTGTTCAAGAAGTATGATTAGTAGAGTCATTTGAAACTTTTATACTGTCACTAATCTCACTTCTGTTTAAATCTTACTGCCATTAATTTAAATATTGTTATTCAGATATGAACATCTGCCTTTTGCAAGTACTGTTTTTTGCTAATACAGAAACTCTTTAACACATCAGTCAAGCACTTTCTTAAAAACAGATGGATTGTGGAAAACAAAAATAATCAGATTTGACTGTTACGGGAGTTTAGATATCATGTAGACTGCATAAGCTCTTCACGAGGGAGGGAGATGAGTGTGTGAAGTGCTTTTGCTGATAGGTAGAGAACTCTTCTTTGTTTACTGGCTTAATGAAAACTCTGTTTTGTTTTGATTGTCAAACTTCCGGCCAGCACCTTCTGTCTTTAAGTCCTGTCTAGCCAAAGCACTAATTAGTTCTTATAGCTCATCATAGCATTAATAGCTTCCTTAAGTCTGTTTTGCATAAATAGGAGGTACGGACACACAAAAATGGGAGAACGATGAATTCTTTAGCTTGTATTTTCAAGGGGATTGGGGGGGGTGTGGTGTTGGGCAGTGTTGGATTTTTCATTTGTTTGGTTTTTTAAGCTTTGAGTCTTAAGGGTTCTGTGAAAGCAGTTATTTTTTTATTTTGTATTTTGGAGCTTTAGGATTCTGGCATTCAGCCAATGCTCCTGATGCTAATAAAAGCTTTTACCAGGTTGTATATATCAGTATGCAAACTGGATAAAGCCTTTTTCTGCTGCTTGCTTTAAAAATTTGTGTTAATTTTCTTACACCCAACTCAGTTTCCTGTAGTAAAAATATTGTATCCATGGAAAGATGTTTGGAGGAGAGCAGTATGCGATTATGAGGATGAATTAGCTTAGATGTCTTCAGACAGTGCTGTACACATGGTGGAGATGTGTCTTTAAGATGTCTGACTCCATTATGTCTAGCTAATTTACTGGAAAGTTTTTCATTCCCCGGGATGTCAGGTGGATTGACAGAACATACTTGATTACAAAATGCAACAAGTTTGTCATTCAGCTGTTGCAGATTTATTGCTGTTATATTTAGACACTACAGAAACTATTAGAAATTTAAACATCTTGATAAAACAGTAGATTGTCTTGAGCATTGTCTGAGTGTTCAGAGAATAATCTGAGAGGTATAAATTTGTAAGTTTACCTGCCTTAAGTAAGATTACCTGCATGATTTCTGGGAGGTGAGGAAGCTGGAATGAAGAATAGAAGTGAGTTAACTGTACATTACCACTGTTTAACTTTTTTTGTCCTTCAAAGAGTCGCTTGTTTGCCATATATGTCACAAGGGACAATATACTTAAGTTCCTACCATAAGTCTGTTAGTTGTTCAGAATTTCTTGTTCTTCTGATCCATAAGACACGTTGCTCATCTCTATTGAATTTTGAAGACAGTAAGCTGTTTACCCAACTTTCTTAGCTACTGTAATATGAGCATTAAACAAGTAAATGAAATTAATGTTTGTTTTATTTTTGTTCAGGTAGGATGTCTCCAAATACGTAGATTCCTTATTTAAGAGTCTGCTGAAGCTCTCTACCTTAAGTAGGTCTTGATTGTTTTGTTTTGTCTATCACGGGGTAAGCAGTTTTATCAACTGAGTTTATAGTCAGAAGTGGTAACTGAAGAGTAATCGATTAATGCCTACTGTTGGATGCCTGTCCACACAATCTGTAGTGAAAGCTGTAAGCCATTCTCAACGCTGTCTCCAAGGATGACGGAAGTATGCTAAATCTTCACTTTCCCACTGACAGAGTTCATGAGGAGGATGCAGTCATTCTTTGTGTCAGACATTGTAGGAGTAAACCTCTGGCTCCGTAGGCTGTGGTTCCCAAATGCAGGCTTGCTTAGGTACAGTCAGCTCCAGGGTCATCACGGCCACCTGCTGAGCTTCCCAGCCGGTGAGCTATGGGGTAGCACCCTGCTATGGGGTAGCACCCTGCGTCCAGGCAGCTCCTCATCTCGGGTGGTGCTGACTGCAGCTCAGGTAAGTGCTTGTCGAGAGGCCCTTGCTGCTAATCAGGAAACAAGGGTGTGGAAGTACTTTGAGATAAGTATCAGGAAATGCTCCGACAGAATACCTGGCAGGAGTTCGTTTATGGTTTCTTGGAAATTCCTGCCTTGTGTCACATTCAGTCAGGAAAAGCAACGTGTTATAAACCCTGCAATATGTATTAACTATGTCTTTTAGCACACTGACAGGCATCTGTGCTATACGCTGGAGTGACGCAAATCTCAGACTCTTTTAATTTTCTGCAATTGCTTTAATTTTTATCAGCAGTTTTGGAAGCGGGAAGAACCTTTGTTCCACAAATAGATTTCTGAATTTTACCTTGCTTCAGGGGGGCTGAATTCTGTAACGGTTGTACCGCCAGACTTCTTGAGACTCGGCTGAACATTGTGCCGAGGAGGAAAAATTGGAGACTGTGTGTTCCTTCTGAACACACAGACACAGTCCGCTGTGTTTGGTGTCTTGGAGAGTTAGGGCCTATAAGGAAATTTATCCCTTGCTCTTCCCCTTCTAAAGCTGCCTTCTCCAGTAAGGCTCGCAGCAGCTTTATTCATCTTAGCTCTTCATGTTCCTTTCTGTCACTTTTGGTATTGGTTGTTTGCTTGATTTGAATAATTGATTTGCACGTGTAAAAGCCTTTACTGCTCTAGACCTATACTGTCCTTAATAAATTTTAAGTGCTATAAACTATTCAGTTCTTGTGATGTCTGAACAGGATGAAATGGTGTGCTGCCTCGGGCTACTTTACCAAACCTAGTGTCGTGGTTTAACCTCAGCCGGCAACTGAGCACCACACAGCTGCTCACTTACTCCCCCTCCCCCCCCTGGCCAGTGGGATGGGGGAGAGAATCGGTGATAGAATATACAAAGCAAGTGATGCACAATGCAGTTGCTCACCACCTGCCGACTGATGCCCAGCCAGTCCCCAAGCAGTGGCCCCCCCGGCCAGCTTTCCCCAGTTTATGTACTGAGCATGACGTCACATGGTATGGAATGTCCCTTTGGCCAGTTGGGGTCAGCTGTCCTGGCTGTGCCCCCTCCCAGCTTCTTGTGCACCTCCAGCCTTCTCAGTCGGTAGAGCATGGGAAGCTGAAAAGTCCTTGACTAGTGTAAGCACTACCTAGCAACAACTAAAACATCGGTGTGTTATCAACATTGTTCTCATCCTAAATCCAAAACACAGCACTGTACCAGCTACTAGGAAGAAAATTAACCCTATCCCAGCTGAAACTAGGACACCTAGTTACTTGGATAATATTAACAAAAATGTGTTTCAAACATAAACTTTTATTTTCAGGTTGTGTCATGAATCTGGCAGTATATTTTCTGATTATATCATACATTGTTGCGGATTATTTTAAGATTTACATACCGAAATGTAAACCCCTCAAGAAGTTTTTCTACTGCTTTAGTTTCCCTATGCTTTACACCTATTGTTCATCTATAGTTAAGAACAATTAGGTGTTTTTAACAAACTGTGAGACAGTGTGGACCAATAGCAGCAGGGAGTGGAGAAACAGGCACTGTTAATTGAGGTAATGAAATCCATAATTTGTGGCCCAGTGTTTCCCTAACAGTGGGAGATATGAGATGAATTCAAGTTGCTTTCCCTTTCAGTTCGGTAAGTTGCCATATCACTGTTTTCAAAGGAGAATGCAGATGACTTACCTTTGGCTTCAGGCTAAATAGGGAAGAGAAATGTGGGGAAAATAAATTCATATAGGTCAAACTTCTGTAAGAAAAGTTTGCATGTTGTTCCAGTTGTGTCTCATTTACCTCTTTTAGCTGAAAAAGAATATATGTTATTAGTATTAACAAAATCTAATTTTACCTTCACAGATAAATTTGAGCAGTTTTGGGCAATAAATCGAAAACTCATGGAGTATCCTCCAGAAGATAATGGATTTCGATACATCCCATTTAGAATTTATCAGGTAGGAGACAATGAAATAAAACCACTTTTACTAAATGCTTCCACTGAGGTGTCACATATCATAATCTGTTTCAGAATTATACGTTCCCTTTTCTAACATGGTAAAACTTTGTATGCTCATCTTTGCTGGACCCTTGAGTTGTATGAATTAGCAAAGACAAAATAGAATTTATTTATAGTATAATAAGTAATAATAGTATTTATTCTAATGGTTAATTACCATTTGTCATGTTGTAGGTGTGTAATACTTGAGGATGTGCTAAGGCTGGTATAGATTATGTTTGTTTGCTTTAGTTGTTGGTTTTTTAAAAAAAAAAAGCTAATTCTGTCATTAAAAATAACTGCCAACTATGAAGACTGCTTTGGATGCAAAATGCCCTCTGAAAGGTCTAAGTCAAACATTCCAGGAGTAACACTTTTCCCTCGCCCACTGTGTAGGCTTCTTTGCTTGTTGGCATTATAAGGTGAAAATAATGGCATAGATGTTGCATCTAGTTCTTACCTTTGTCTTCTAATTGTATACTTTACAATCCAAAACTAGCTTTGAATATTTTTGCTGTTTTAATACACCAATGCTCCATTTTTCTCAGCAGTTTCTTTGGAGACATATTCCTTGGAATCCTTAAAATTTTTCGATGTCCATGTAGTTTTTATAGCATTAAGGTCACGATGAAGTTTGGAATTAAGTATGGTTAAAAGCTTATGCAGAATTCTTGTAGCCTCTCCGTAAATGAAACAGTTCTGCTCCGTTTCATCTTTGAAACGTTTTCATATGTTTACATTTAAGTTTTGCACCTGTAACTATCAGAAGTCCTTTATTCATAGTACTGAATAGTCTGATAGTACTTTATAACAGGTTTTAATGACCATACAAAGCTATACAATCTTGCAATGGGACTGAAGTAACTTTTAATGTTAGATATAAGACATTTACTGTCATAGTGAAACCTTAGATTGAGAACGGAAGTCAGTTATTTTGTCAGAGATCATAGCAGATGCAAGGTTTGTGTAAGTATCAAAAAGTATGTATCAGGAAAAGTAGTTCGCTCACAGCATTTTGTTTGGTTGGTAACTAAGTTGTTTGTTCTCAGATAGGTGGTTTTGGGTTTTTTTTAAGTCTTTTCATAGAAATCATGTAAATGGGTTTGCGAAATGGAGGTTTTGCCGTCTAAATAAGGTACAGACCTTTAAGCCATGAGGGAAATTTTCTATGATAGTACATGATTTCATGCTAGTAAAGCTTTAAAAAAAAAAAATCTAATTCAGTAATATCTATCCCTTTAGCCAGTGGTACTTATCTTGATTCTCATTATCTTTTCAACTGGAAACCCTTACTTGCTATAGTTTAAACCCAAAATATCTAACTAAGAATAGAAGACCAAACACAAATAAAGATCATGCTGAGACAGCTTTGAGAAGGTTGGTGTATATTATTTTCAGTAATGCTGCTCTTAATATTTCTAAATATTTTCAGTAATGTTCCTCTTTTTAAAAAAAGTGGATGCAGGTGTTTCGAGCTTTTTTGTTTGGTTTGTTGGTTTTGTGTACTGATTACTGCTCATCATAAAAGTCTATGTATTTAAAGGAATTTTCAGAAAGTGTTAGGAAGGGTGAGATTATAATTTGATTCCAAGCAAGGACTTAATTCCTGTAGTTTTAACATAATTTATAGTACTTAGTGACAGGCTTGCATATGCTGAAGTAACTGATTCAGAAGTATTCTTAAGAAGTATTTAACCCCCATGCCGATTGCATTTAATTTCCATTAGTGCTGGTAGAAGTCAGCTCTGCATTCCAATTGGTTGCTTGCATATCCCTACATAAATACCTGAAAGCCAGTTTAGCCTGGGTTTGTATTACAGTGGAGGTTTATTCCCTATGTGTTTTCACATAGTGTTTTTGTAGATACTTACGGATATACAGGTGGATGGCAGGAAATTACTAGGCATTGCCTTCAGTGGGGAGAGTTCCTCCTCTTAGTCTCCATCCCTTCCATTACCCCAAAATTATTAGAAGGAAATTCTGTGAAGGGAACTGCCTAGATTGTGTTTTGGCAGTATGAGGTGGATGAATTTGTTTTCCTTCAAAGAAATATACTAGATTATGATATCAACTAAGAAAAATCAGTCTTAGCAACGATTAAATGTGACTGGGAAAAATTGCTGCGGAAAAAATGCATGCAATAAAGTGATCTGACATGCTTTTCACTGAAGGCCTGATATTTTCAAAACTCAAAGGCTCTTTCAATTGTAAAGCTTGTCTATTAAAATACATTTCTAAAGAATAATATGAATCATACCTCATGTGGTATCCAAATCTGATGGTGTGTGGGGGAGAAAGAGATGGCAAAAATACAAACGTCGTACTTGGGTAAGTCAGAACTAAACTAACCACAAGTAATTTTAAAAGCCCTTGTCCAGCATCTCTTCTTTTAAGTGTAGCAGCTAAGATTGGACCAGAATCCTGGCATCTACTGTAGAAGATGAAGAAGGAGACTGAGTACCACTAAGGATCAACTCATTTACAATTTTAAAAGTTAGCTAAGAGATCTTGGATATTTTATTACCAGCTGTCATAGTCTAAACTGTGTTGTATGGAACTTGCACCAGATGAACCTTTGACATAGGTGGAAACTTTTTCTACCAGAGATGGTTTAAAAGTAGTGATTGTATTTTTGTGACACTTTTACTTACACACATCCAAAAAAAAAAAAGTGCCCCACTTCATCACTTCAGAGGTGACGTCTGCAGTTGACAGTTGCATGAAAACCTTTTTGCCTTTTTGTCTGATAGTACTGTTGAATAGAGTACTTTTTTCACTTGTTCTTTAATAGCAAGAGAAAAAATAATAGTAATGTTTTGAGTATATTATGCATTTAAGAGTATGGCTTTTCTTGTATAGTACTAGAGCTAGTTTGGCTTGAGGACTTTTTCCCCATGTTTACAAGACCAGCTGGTTTTGCACTTTGTAATTGAACAAACTATATGGCTGATAGATGGCAGGAAGTTTTCATCAGTCTTTGGCTCCAGGCACTGTGACGGAGCATGTTAGTCAGGCACCGGAGAGGAGTCTCTACGTGCTGATAGAGGCTACCCTGATGAACTACTGTCTTACGCTGCAGATGGGAGCACTCTGAGTCTCAGTTGTTGTGCACTTAGTTTGCACTTATCCCTGAGTTTTGGTATGTTGTTCTCTCCCCGTGTCATGCTCACTCACTTGCTCTTGCTTGCTCTCTCCCTGTCAAGCTTCCTCCTTTCCTCTGGAGTCTGCCCTATGAGTATATAGGATTTAAAGTTGTAAATAGCATTTCATTCTTGAGAATAAAATTACAAAAGTATGTGAAGGAAAATTCATTAAAACTATTCATGACAAGTTCTGAGCTTTTCTAGAGTCGCACTTGGCTTAAGGCAGGCTGGCTGTTGTGTTTGCCAGCACAAAAGGGGATGATCTGTGATTGTTTGTTTACTTTTTCCTTTATTTGGGTACTGGGACATGCCGTGGTACTAGAATGAGCATTTCCTTTGCCTCTATTTTCTAAGGGTTTTGATTAGATTATTAATTTTATTACCTAATTACATAGTAGGCTTTCGCTTTGTACAGGTTTTTCCTATCATAAGTCCCTTAAGATGTTGTGATTAAATTGTACAGTCACAAATTGTTATGATGTTTATCTGCCTTAGTAACGTGAGTGAAATTCTTCATACTTAATAATACTTCGGTTAAATCCAGCACTTTGCTCTTTCTGTCAAAGTTGCAATACTGAGATGTCTAAATAGATTAAAATGTCTACCATGACCTGTCCCGTAAAAATAGCAAGGTGGGAGCGGGAAATGAAATATATTAAGACATTATTAATATCTGGCTCAATAAATGAATCAGAAGCCCAAGCATGGCCCTTCCCCAAGCAATGGAAGACTGTTTTATTCGTGTTTCCACATTAATTGGCAGAGCTCAGATAATTAATTACAAAACCATTACAAGTATGCAAGTCAGCATCACAATTTGGCCCATGTTGTGACAACTACTCAAGAACTGATCAAAACAGATTGTTTGGAAAGATACTGGGTCCACCTGTAAAGTTTTCAAGTATAATGAATCCATCCTTTTATGCTAGTAGGTTATTAAATTTTTTTTTGTTTTGGGTGAAAAGCCTCCATTGCATTTCAAGGCTGAATTTGTCTGACTTCAACTCCAGTTTCTAGATTTTGTTTTGCCTTACACCACTTTAAATTAGTCATCTGACTTTCTAACCTCCAAGTTCACTTACGGAGTGATTTCAGCAGCTTCAGTTTTCTTTGGTAAGCTGAATCAGTTGAGCTCTTTAAGCCTCTTGTCATGAGGCTTGCTTACCAGTGCTGAAGTTGTTTTTTCAGTCATCTTTTCAACCACTACCTGATATTTTGATAATCCTCAAGGTTAGTATTAAAGTTAGGGAGACATAGAGGCCAAAAGTAAAGTTTATTTCTATAGGATTTTAGATCAAAAATACTTCAAGCACTGGTGAGATAGAGGTACAGTTAGCTGCTACTTGAAACTGCAAATCTGAAAATTTTTATGAAAGAAGTTGAAATGCAATGACTCGTCGAGCAAAAGAACTAGAAAATGTAAGTGCTGTCGACCTGAAGAGGGCAACACAACACAGCAAGTTTCAGCGTCTTGTTGGCTAGTGCAAAATGCTCTTGAATAGACCTGTGTGTAATACATTATTTAACTTTTTTCTTATTTATTAAAAATGACATTTTCATAAAGGACCTGCAGAAAATAGATCAATTTATTTCTTAAAAACTTCCTTTTACAAAGAAGAAGTTTGAGTGAATAGGAAAATAAATTGAAATGATGGTTGATTTGCGTAACAGAGCTGTGCTCAGCTGAATTTCTGTGCTGAAAAGAAAAAACCGGACTCTGATTCATTATCAATTGAGTACACAGAATTACTTACTCTAATAACTGATGGTTCAGCACTGAAGAAACACTAGCACATTTTAACCAGTTTTAAATTAC